GGCAGGGAGACGCGGCGCGGCGCCCGTGCCGACCCCTAGCAGCCCCCGCTGCAGCAACTCGCTCCTTCCAGGCGGCTCCCCTATGGCCTGGCAGGAGCCTGAGCTGGGACGAGTTACCTTCCACCAGGCCCTTCCCGGCAGAGGAACGTGGAGCTAATCCCTGCCCCAGTTAAAATACAGGCGAGCCAGAAGCGGGGTCACCTCCTGCCCCTTCTGCCACCCGCTGGGAACATGCCCCCACGAAAGGGCTCAAGGGGAGAGATTTGTACACGTCACAACTTCTCAAGCAGACCGGACACACACACACACGCACACACACACCATTGAGTGCAACAGAACGCAGTGTAAAAACCAGTTTCACGCACACACTATCCGTTTGTGCAAGGCTCACACGTTACAGTACAGCCAGAGATCGGGCGGGCAAGAGGGGAGGCAACGGCTGAGATATTGTACAGGAGTCAATGTAAACAATAAAGCGTCCTCCAAGAGGCCTTCGCAAGAGACCAAAAGAACAGTTGCTTTGTACAAAATGCCCTTAAAACAACACATTTGTCATAAACTCCTCTGTCAGCGAGGCTTGTCAGCTGCTCACCCCTTTAGAGATGCTACTCCTTCCCCTCTGGGGAAGGCGCTGCTCCTCGTGGTGCTCAGCAGGTCACAGGAAGCTCTCGTGGGACGGCCACTGAGACCGGGAGCGAGCCCAGTTCCCACTGCCCACCTGTGAGCCACCAGCATGGAGAAGGGCTGTCCTCAAGTGGAGAGACCTCTGATCCCACGGCCCCCAGAGAGCTGCATGTGACGCATCCCTCCAGTCCATTCCCCTCTTTCTGCCATCTAGTTCAGAGCCTCAAGACCTCCAAGGCCTTCATAACCGTCTGCAAAAGAGAACAACCTTCCCTGACTTCCTCCACAGAAAACACACACAGTTGTGCTGGGCCAGAGCTGAAGACAAGGATGCAGCACAGCACTTGCCCAACGTGGGCCTTTGCTCCGAGGGAGGACAGCCCTTCACTGCAGGAACACTGCTCTCCCCAGCTGACGCACTCGGGCAGGAGCAGAGTATTGGAAGGAAGCAGCGTTTCTGGTCTGCAAGGAAGAGCCTTTCTACGGAGCATTTCTCTTGAGACTGAGCTGGGCAACAACTGATCATCTTCCTCCTCCCTCTCAAGGAAAAAAAAACCTACACAGGGCTTTCCCCTTGCAAGCAGATCATTGCCACGGGAACAGATCACCAGCCAAGAATGCTCCTGCTGATGCAGAGGGCATGCTTGGTGGCACCCCCTCCCTGCCACCCACAGAGGAGCAGACACCTCTGCAGGGTCGGGGCAGCAGGCAACAGCTCTGGTGAGGTCTGGGGGGAGGAGGGGAAGCAAAGACTGAAACTGTCCTTCACAAGATGACATGAGCCACTTGGCCTTTCCACACTGCCTGCCCAGCTCCAAGTCAGCTAGAGTGAGCCAGGAGAGCCCAAATGTTTTTCAGTGTCCTGAAGAACTATCTGGCCTCCTGGGCCAGGCTCTACGTGACTCGGGTGACTTTTAGTAACTGAAATTGCCTGGGAGGACGTGCTATTTGACCCAAGACAGTGCCCTGCTGGGCTACTTCAGGCTGTCCTCCAGCCTGCAGCTAGCACAGGTGACAACCCCCCTCCCCCAGCAGGGCTAGAGCTCCTTGGAAGCAAGGGGACAATATGCACTTTGCTGCTGGAAAAGGCCCGAGACATGCTCGCAGCATCATGCCAGGCAGTGCCCGGCTGCGGGCACACAGGTTGCCCAGCGCTGGGCTCTGGCAAGGCAGCGTGGGAGGATCCCTAGGAGCGGCAGGGGGGCAGCAGAGGTGGGATTCCTCCCCACGCTTGCATTACCGTGGGACCTGCTAGGATATCCTCTGCTGCTGGATGTGGGCAAGCTGCAGGCTTAAGGATAGCTCTTGCCTTTGGGCAGACATATGCTGCTTCCCAATACTCCGCAGTGCCTTTGGTGCTGCGCTTCTCCCCAGCTCAAGATGAGCTTGCCCCATCAGTGCCTGCAAGGCTCTGCAGCATCCGTGCCACCTTCTAGGTACAGCCTGGTTTGCTGCTCCTCCCTCACCATGTCCTCCCCCGTGCTGGGCTTTCAGGAGCTGGAGCCATTCTGCATCTTCTGCTTCGCTCCTCCCCAGAGGGCAGGTCTGGGCCAGAGCCAAGCACCAGCTCAGCTGCGCTCTCAGTGCCCTGCCACAGACCTGCTGCAGGACTGGAGACAGGACCCAGAGCTCTCCTACAACGGCCGAGCGCCTTTTCCTCTCCTCCCTATAGCAGACATACAATTGCACCAGCGGAAAAGAGGAGTCTTGAGTTAGCCAAACTGCTCTGGAACCGCAAATAAGCCAAACTGCTGAAATTTGGAGCAGGCCCTGTGAATGCACAACACTGTTCTTCAGCGAAACGAGAACCTGCAGAATGGCTCGGAGCAATAACAGGGACGCCTTTCCACGTCTGCCCGGCCCTTCTGACACCCAGCGTCAACCGGGGGGAGGCAGGCAGATATGCAGTCACCCTCCTGCAGCGGGGTAGCAGGGGTTCATGCAGGACTGGAGGAGAAGGGACACGTTTGGCAGAAGCTGGCATCGAGGCTCACTTTTGGAAAGGGAAGACAGCTTACAAAGTCAAATCCACTCCATTTCTGTGGAGATTACAAAGAACAGCACTGAGTTTGAGGAAGGTGGTTTTGTTTTCCAGTTTACAGAATGTAGTCTTGCCCTTTTTTAAAAAACAAAACATAGAAATGACAAAAAAATCTATATAAATACCATATATACAACAATTTAGGCAAAAAAAAAAAAAACCCAACAACCTTCCAGAAAAGATCTTCCCCTTCCCTCCGGGTTGAGTGTTAGGAGTGACAGCAGAGAGGACAAAGCTTTGCATTCAGCAGGGGAAATACATCATGTAACAATTATAACAGCCTCTAGGTCTGGAAGTCAACAGAAGTGCCTGTGAGCGGGGCAGAGGGGGAGAGGGAAAGAAACTCAGGCAGCATGAGACAAGAATAGCGTTAGGGTGGAGGGGAGGCAGCAGGAGGGTAGAGAACAGATGATATGGCCATGAACTTGGAAGGCCCACAGCAGTATTCAAGTAATGGAAGGGTCAAAACCCTAAAGACTCATTTGTTTTAAAAGAACACTCTCTGGTTTTGTGGCTTCTCCTTGTCCCGCGTCGCTTTTCCAGCATAACCGAGGACAAATGAACTTGGTGGCTCACAGAGCAGCTCTGCCCACACGGGAGGCTGGTGTTCCACCTCGCTACAAAATCCAGGGCTCCGCGAGACCCACATCTAGGAGATGAGCCCTGATTTCAGTGACAGGCTGCTTGCGGTTTTTAAAGCCCATCCATCAGCATGATTTACTGCCGTGCACTCCTTTTGGGGATGCACAAGCAGAACCAAGCCTGGGGGGGG